TTTTTTTTTTTTTTTTTTTTTTTTTTTTTTTAATCGCAATATTGGCACAGAGCCAATATGCCAGCGGACTTGAGGCTTCGATTCAACCGTGGCAACTTGGCATCTTTCGTGGCCATCCCGCTGGCATATTGGCTCTGTGCTGCCTCCCACTTCGCTACTTCGCTCCCTCCAATGTCTCATTCAATTATCCTTTTTTTCCCTTGCACAATTTAGTATTCAATAATTTAATAATATATTCAATAATTATTGTAGTTTTGAGATCAAACTTCAGCTGAATTGAATTATATATACCTCACAAATATATATATCATATCATATCATATATATATATGGCTTCGTTGCCATGCGGGGGACCACTGGTTTGTTGCCACTGCCACTCAAACGAACTTATAGCGCCACTGACGACTTAAAAAGAGAGGCACAGGAAAACCAACATATATGGTATAACTTCTTCACAACTTCTGCCGCTTTGCTCCGCCGCCGCCTCCAATATACCTTATTCCCTTCCTACATCTGCATACCGCCGACTTCCTTAATCGAATTTGTTATCGCTCCCGCAGAGGTATACTCTCTCCCCGGCATAACTTACTTTGCTTTCCTGTTGAAGTTCTTCGCTTGTTAACCGGAAGAACAACGATAATATGACTGTCTAATCCTGCTTTCTACAGCGTGATGCCTAAAACAACTTCTTATGTTGTTGCATGTTGATTAGAAGTTTAGGCGCGATTACATTCGTTAATCTGTGTTTCTTTTTTTTTTTGTTGGCTGGTGGTTTTCTCTGGTGAAGTTGTAAATTTGTCAACAATTCGTACTTGAATTCTCTACATGACGCTCTTTGGAACATCCTATTCTGTGGATTTCGGGAATGAAGTAATTTTGGGGAAGATGTGGAGTCGGGGGGTGGTTTTTGGCTGCAGAACCTTTAGAAATGTGGTGAAGGAGGTTGCTTATCCAGCATCGGCTAGAAAAAGTTTTGGCAGATGCATCGCTATAAAGAGGAAAAATAAGTTCTCGGTAATGATGGATTTTTCTCAGTCGCATTTGGACTCAGACGCTCCTGCAGCTGCTATTCCTGTTTCGAAGGATGAAGATGAGACCATGAGGGGAAAGGATTTTAGAATTTCGGAGATATCAAAAGTGGAGAATGATAACGGTGGTAATGGAAATTATAATAACGGTAAAGGAGGTGGCGGCGGCGGTAGCGGTGGTACTGGCGATGACAACAAGGGAGACAAAGAAGAAGAGGAATTTGGTCCAATTATGAAATTTGATGAGGTGATGAAAGAGGTGGAATCAAGAGGGGTAAGTCTTCCTTCAGACATGTTGGAGGCAGCGAAGAGCGAGGGAATTCGCAAGCTGCTGCTGCTTAGATATTTGGAGATGCAGGTAAGAACTTATCTTCTCTAACATCTTTTGCCATTTCTGCTAAGCAATTTCCTTGTTGGTTATTGAAGGGTTTAGGCTGGCCTCTTGGCTTTTTGATGAAGTCTTGTGCTATGATTCGAAACCGGATGCTGGCTGATCCATCATTTTTCTTCAAAGTTGGCGTCGAGGTCTATTACCTCATCCTCTTACCATATTTCACTATTTATAGTTTTGACATAACTCCGGATGTCATACACATTTTTTAAAATTACTGCTTCAATATTTGCAGTTAGTTATTGATTCTTGCTGCGCTACTTTTGCGGAAGTTCAAAAGAGAGGCAAAGATTTCTGGACAGAATTTGAGCTTTATCTTGCTGATATTTTGGTGGGCGTGGGTGTTAACTTTGCTTTGGTTGCCCTTTTGGCACCTTATGCTCGTTTTGGGCAACCATCTGTGTCAAAAGGTTTCCTTGGACGCACTCTTCATGCTTGTGAAGCACTACCAAGCAGGTTTAGAAGCTGAGTTGTGTTGCTTGTAAGTTATCATCATTCCTTATGAAACCAATATGTTTAGAAGCTGTCTTCTTCTATGTGTAGTGTTTTTGAAGCTGAACGACCAGGATGTAGATTTTCTGTACAACAAAGAATTCTTACATTTTTCTATAAGGTGAGGGTTATAAGATACTTTTACCCAAACTTATTTTTATCTCTTAGTGTGAGATCCCTCATCTGTTGGAGAGAAGAATGAAGGATTCCTTGTAAGGGTGTGGAAACCTCTCATTTGCAAACGTGAGAGGCTGACAACGATATGTAATAGGTCAAAGTGGACCATATCTGTTAGCTGTTAGCTAAAACTTATACTTAAGAACTTATTTTTATGATTATTGCTTTAGGGACTCATGTATGGTGCAATAGGATTTGGATGTGGTATAATCGGCCAAGGCATTGCAAATTTAATAATGATCTCAAAAAGGTTATATCTATTCACCGAATTTTGCTCTGGCACATTTCGTTTACAACGTTGATTGTTGTTGCTTCTTTTTTTATGTGATCCTTACCCATTTCTTTTGGCATACATCAGGAGCATAAAGAAATCTGAAGATGAAGTACCAGTTCCACCTCTCTTAAAGAGCGCGGCTCTTTGGGGTACTTCTCGCTTGTTTATATTATTTCAATTTTATTTGATCGATTTTCCCTGGGTCATGTGAACGTTGCTACTTTGCTTATTGCTTTACTCTCACTAGATAATGGCTGTGTATGTCTACAATGAAGTATATGTTGCATGTTTATTATTTGTTTTTCTTGCATTCCAGACATTTGTGATGCTTGTGCTCGCTGCTTCTTTCAGACAGTAGAACTTATCTGATATTCTGATTTGATCAAATGCACTATGCTTGGATTGATAAGTTTACTTCCACTCTCGATCAACTTGATCCGGATTTACTTTGTAATTTGTTCATCAATTTCCCAATGCAGATAGATTCTATTTACGTTGAGATATCAGTTTGATGTGTTGTTGGATTCATGAGCTTGGGAAAGATTAAATGGTTGCCTTATTTCACTTGATATACTTACTAAACAGAGAAGTTACTCTCTTGCCTGTGGCATTGTGTGATACCTAGAACAAAAAAATGATCATTCGAAAGATCTCGAGTGCAAGCGAAGACGTTGGGTCCCAAAGGGGGTGGATTCTGAGATCCCCATCGATTAGAGAGGGGAACGAGTGCCAGTGAGGACACTGAGCCCCGAAGGGGGTGGATTGTGAAATTCCACGTCGGTTGGAGAGGGAAACAGTGTGAAAACCTCTCCCTACTAGACGTGTTAAAAAAAAAACGTGAGAGGAAGCCCAGTAGGAAAAGAAGGAAAAGCCTAAGGTGGGGTGTTACACTCTTGCAGTGTTATTTGATTTTCTTTTGCCTGCTAGTTATCCTGTTAAGAACCACTCTCTAATGATCAGGCCAATTGCCTTGGGAGTTTTGAGATTGTTTTTCATTTGGAGTTCTCTTCTCTATAACTATGTTTTCTTGTACCCGAACTCTTCATTATTGGTATTTTTCGTTTTTGTTTCTTCTCGCTAAAATATGTTTTCTTTGTTACGGCCAAACTTGCAGGAGTTTTTCTTGCAGTATCTTCAAACACTCGTTACCAGATCATCAATGGACTGGAACGCGTAGTGGAATCATCAGCATTAGCAAAGTATATTCCAACAGTTGCTTTGGCTTTCACGGTAGGTATTCGATTTGGCAATAACGTGTACGCTGGAATGCAATTTATCGACTGGGCTAGATGGAGTGGAGTCCAGTAACATCATCTATACGACTTTGAGATATCATTTCTGTCCCCTAGGACTCCACAAAAGTGCTCATAGCAAAACAAAAGGTCATCATCCTCTAAACTTGAGCTTCGACATTTACTGTAATATCTAGACAAGGAAGACGGGTCCTTTTGTTGCAATAATAGATTGAAAAGATTCATTTTTGTTAGCTGTAAAAGTTATAGGCACCCTTTTATGATATACAGAAGATATGCCTCATAATTCAATGGAGTTCTGTTCGCCAGAAAAGCACACTAACCTTGCAGGAGAATTGATAATCTGATTGCCAAATCCAGCATTGTTAGAAAGGAGGAGGTAATCTGCAACCCGAGGACTAGAAAAGGAGACTTTTTTTTTCTTTTTTTCTTTTTTAAATTTGATTACTCTGATCTAAACCTCAGGATGCAGATTACCTGATCCTTACCCAATAAAAATTATAAAATAAAAGCTCACTCTGCAGAAAAGAAGAAAAAATAGCAGAGTAGAGAGTTTTGACTGAGGAAGAAGCTTGGATTTAGATGGAGCTGAAGTTCATGAGGTAAATCCATCAGTATTTATAATGGGTTTCAAAATTCATTTTTTATTTCTTTTATAAGGAAAAGGTGAATAAAACAAAGGAGAAACACGTGATAAGGTGCTCCACTAGAATCATGAGATGGCATCTGTTCTTCGTTTGACCACTTTTTTTAATTAAAAAAAAAAAAAAAAAAACCCAGTAGGATAAGAGATCCTACCCTATTTATCAACAAAAGATTACCCTACATTTTTCTTCCCTGTTTTTACCCAGTTTTAAGTTAAATGTTATCTTATTCATCTTCCCATTCAACTACAATTCCTCATGTGATTATGATTTGTATAATAATTTTCAAGTTTAATTCCTATACAAATAAATTTTGTATCCAAAAAAGTTACCTAATTGATTGGGTTGCATAGAGATTGAAGTCGATTTGTGGTTCTCAATACTCCACATAAAAGATCAGAGATTCCCCCATATCTCCCCTGGAAGTCTAGGCCCACTATCCTTTAAAGAGAGAGAAAGAAAAGCCCAAAATACTTTTAGAAAAGAAAGAAAGTGAGCCCACTAGCCCAACAAACTTCGAAATCCCAATCATTCATTCATACATACATACATCCCAACGGCAAATTAGGGTTAAATTTCCAACAACGATTATTCTCTAAAAATGCGCAAGAACACGCCACCTACACCAGACATAGAGAACCCTCTTCCCGTTCTGTCCTTTGAAATTGTTACATAATGGCAAATAATGGCGTTTTGAGGTTTGAATTCTCATCCATCTTTGTTTTATCTGGTAGGAATTGGGAGGTTTGCCATTTCCTTATGCTCCTCTCTACTAGGTTTTACTGATCTAAACCCTATATATATATATATATATATATATTTTAATACAGCTTCACTGGCAAATAATATGGAACCTCTTGTCTTCCTAGCATCATAACTTCAAACCCCATAAATCAATTTCACCCTACAAAGTCATGTAACAGCTGCCCTCCAACAACATCTCTACCAAAATGTCCTCCCATTACATACCCATCACTATTGCCTTGAATTCCCAGCCCGAACCGTCGAGTCGCCGCAACGGGGAACCCAACAGGAAAGGGTTCTGAAAAGCCACCACCAATGCCGTTGTTGTTGTTGTTCTGGTGAAGACCAAGAGTTAGCGAAACTCCATTGTTGTTCCCCCCCATATTTGCATTTGAGCCTACATGGGGATGGCTCGAAACGTTGTAAGACACGTTCAAGGGCTCGTCGTTATCTCCCATTGGCACGTCGTGAAGTTTGTTTCGGGTACGTTTGGTAGGAGTATCTTGAATTTCTTGAGTGGATTTAGAGGGGTTATCGATGGCAAGCAAGTTTGTTGGATGATGATCGTTTAGCCTGTTGCAGGGGTCACGATCATCTCTATGCAAATTCTTCTGCGTTTGCTTGGTCTCAAGCATGTATATTTCTTCAACCATTGGCTTCCAAAGCCTAACTCTTGCATTAATGAACCAGTTAGATACCTGTCTCAGAGAAGACAGTAGATTTATTGTGTTTTAGAGCAAAATAAATAAATAAATAAATAAATAAATAAATAACGTGAAGTTTGAATTGACATTAGAAAGCGGACCTGACTACGAGACAGGCCAGTCTGTTTTGCCAACATAAGCTTGTCTGTATCAGAAGGATAACTGTCCAAACAAAAAACCAAAACAATACCAATCAAAAACCTCAATAACCAACACCACCATGCCTGGGGTTATAGTTAAGTACTTACGGATGCAAAAAATGTTCGAACAACCAAGCACGAAGAACGGTGACTGCTCGTTCGGGAAGCCCCCGTTGCGGTCGCCAAACAGGCTGATGATCGAGAAATCCCGGGTTCTGACCGGATCTTTGACTGTAGTCACCACGAGTCTTCTTATTGAATTGAAGTTGGTCAAGAATTGCATTTTTCAAGCACTTGAAATGCTTGTACATCACTTTAATGGCCTGGTTCGCGTAGGGCGCTGCATTCCCGAGGCCGGAGATGTACTCAAAAGATGTCATTACTTCCTGAACTTGTTGATAGTACTGCTTATATTTCCTGTAAATCTACACAACCACCACAAAACAAATGCTAAGCTAATAGTAGAAACATCACTCGTATGCATATAATTGGTCAACAAGTTATGAGAAGTAGAATAGTATAAATCAAAAACAGAGAATATATTTGTGGTGAAAATGGGTTTAATTGGTATAAATCTTTATGGAAATGGATTCGTTGGAGGACTTTGATTAAGCACATTATGCCCAAACTTGGTAAAAGTATCCTTAGAGCTATCAAGTTAGCGAGAGGCACTTTGGAAGGCCAATACTGATTTGTGCATATATTCCCTCTCATCACCTTTTCTAAAAAGATGAGAGGATAAAACAATCTTTTAAATACACGAATCCAATGCATATTAACTAAAGCAGAGGACACATACAACAATCAATCTTCGGAATAATAATAAGGTTGCATCCCTTCCTTCCTTCAGTTTCACCTAATCAAAGGAATCTTTTTTTATGTTTCCCTTAATTCATGATGCCCATTCAACATGCATCCTGCTTATAATTTAAATTACAGTACTATTTAGGGTCCATGATTAAGAATAATAATATAATAATGATGGTGATAAACCAAACCCATTGGGGAAAGAAAAAAAAAAATCCAAGAAAGGGGGAAGTAATTAAAGTTGGTAACGTATTATTGTGATATGCAATAAGGAAGCATGATAATTACGCATTAAACCCAAACGTCCCCATCTAATCTTAAAAAAAAAAAAAAAAAAAAAAAAAAAA